CAAATTGAATTAAATCACACATAGTTAACGGGATAAAAATGGGATGAGATGTTGCCGCAGGGAAAAGATGCTCCATTAGGGCAAATAAAGGACAAGAACAAAACTGCTAGTCATGCAACTGATGCAGGATAATCTGTAACGTAAGGTACTTTGACACTGTGTTATATTTCATCTTTATTTCAGATATATGTTATTTAACATGAGGGCAATGTCTCCATCTTTCTTCCTCCTCCCTCTCCTCCCTCTCCTCCCTCTGCCTCATGTTACCTGGGTTAGCAGCATCCCTCTTATTTGACCTTGAGCAGCGATGACACTAGGCCATCGTTAGTCTATTGGATTCTTATATCACACACATCAAACATTTTTCCACTCACAAATTCTTCCATGATCATTATTTCTCATACATATAGCTGCATTTGTTATCATTGTGGCATATTTCCTTATCTATACTGCAAATGCCTGAGCTGAAAATGGACTTATCTTTAAATGTATTTTATCTTATTTCAATTATCTCATCTGATGTTTACATTTGCGCGTGAAAGCGTGTTGTCATTAAAATAATCCAGAAAACCTCACATGCTTTTATTGCTGTTCCCTTGGTAACAAGCAAACCCTTGCCCTCCTAGCCTACTGGCATTCGTGTGGATCGTACCACTTTGCGTCTGTGAGAGGGGGGAGGTGAGTTAGGAGAAACCATTATAAAACCTCGTTTTTCAGTCACTGGAGCGTTCATCTCTATTTAATCAATCTAACATGTGACGCGTAATCAATAAAACGATAATATGATTGTCGTGTTTGTGATGATTCACGGTGCGGTGGTGCTCGGTGCACCCAGGGACACCCCCTCGTCGCATCAGACTGACGGAGGTACAGTAAGCTGTCAGAAGCTTGTTGCTTAAATCTGTGCAGTGACACAAAGTCCGCAGGAAACAACCAGCGTCAAATCTGGGGACGAGTGGGAACTGAAGTGCGGTTGGATTCATCTCTCCCGGGGTCAACCTGACACCTCGGTGTCCGCAGCTTCAGTCCGGTGCCGCCGCGTCGTCTCTGCCCGAGCTGCTGCGTGATCGCCGTCTCCTCCGGGATGATGAGGTAAGCAGGTGCACTCCTCGGCTAACAGTCCTGCTAACGCGAGCTAATAAACCTTACCGTTCGCGTACCGTCAAGTGTTAGCCCGTGACAGCTGCGTGCGTCCGGCCGCGCTAGCTAGCTGCGTGTCCGTGGGTTAGCTTAGCCGAGGTAGCCCGACGATGAGAAGGCGAAATAAGAGACCGAAAACCCGAGCAAGTGTACCAGTGAGACACCATCATGCTAAACTGTCAGGTACACACACTGTCGTAGTTCATTAGCATCGGTGCTGCAAGTATTCAGGCTACTTGGAACAGCTCGTGCTACTCTGTGACAATGCTCCATTACAAGTAAAAGTACTGTGTCAGAAGTAAAAGTACCCAAAGCAAATAATAAAAGTCTCCTGGGACCTGTACGTTTTAAAGTCATTATTTTATTACGACTCTTCCATTAATGTGTAAGCAGTATTTTACTGAAGCAGTGGATTCAGGTGGAGATTTACTTTATGTGTAATTATCACTAATGGATACGCACATAATGGATTATCTTCTGGATTCATTATTTGGAAAAGTAATTAAAAAAAATTAGAAAGTAAGTCAGCAAATCCTCACATTTGACGGAAACATGAAATATTTGTCGTGTTGTCATGACTTCATCGAGGCCTTTGTCAATTTTTGTATCATTTACAATCAAATTACTTAATTTTTTTGTATTTGTATGTACTGTTGATAAGTTTTATCTGAGTAGAAATATAAATATATTTTATTGAAAGAAAATACTCAAGCAAAGTAAAAGTACCTTAAATTTGTACTAAATAATTAAAGTACTACATTTCTATTGTATTATTTTCCCCTGTATTCATGTGTACTGTTAGGAAGTTGTATCTGTAATCAAGCATCAAACTTTATAAAGTCTTTATCTGCTTTTAATGCAAAAATAAAGTAACTAGTATCTGCAGCTGTTAGATGAATTTTGTGTAGTAAAAAGTAGAACTAGACAAGTAAAGTACCTTAAATGTGTACAAAATGAAAGAGGTATATTTTATCAGAAACATATAGAGTACAACAATAATGTTACCGGATTGCAAAATTTAGATTTTCCTTTCCACATCCCCTATCATCCTTTTCTAAAGTTTAGCACTATCTTATTGATAAATTAATGGAAAAGTCTTCTGCATGTCCATCTGTCAATATATTGAAATAAACAGCATTTCACTATATTTCAAATACTAGTAAATATTTTCCACCTCAAGCAACATAAAATAATCTCTGCAACAGGAGGCTATCCTCTGAGCTGAATGTAATAAATTGTTTTATATGTTACAACGATATATTTCTCCATTATACTATACATTTCTATTCATTGCCACCAGCCATGTCTTTCTCCAGCAGTGCAGGCAGCATTCACTGGGTGCAACAGCCTCTGCTTTCCTATTGGCCAGTTTCTGACAGGGAGGGTCTTCCCGGAGGCCGGCACTCAGGCAGGAAGGGGGTGGCTGGAAATGTTTCAGCCACAGTTGGACAGACTGTTTTTTGCTGTTGTGAAGAGAAAATCTTTGCTCACTGAATCCTCGGGACAGACAGGAGGATACAGGCTGTTCTTGCTGTCAACATCTTCCCCAATTAGCTTCCTTAAAGTTGTAGCTCTGTCGTAGATCCTCGGTGTGGAACAGAACTTCTTTAGGGCTGCATGTCGAGGGAGAGGTAGGTTTTCCTGCTCCGTTTCCTTGCTTGCGTCTAAAGGAATTTGCTGCAGTAATGCCACGGGATAGCATGCAGCAAGGCTCTGAGGCTGTTACAGTTAGCGATCTGGGTCAACGAAAGCAGAGTTTCTTCAAAATCTGTGCCTTTTGACTTTCGTAGGCTTTGCTTATTGCTCTCATTTGAGACGCATTTCAGCTCTCTCTCACACACACACACAGGTTTATCCAGCTAATGGGTTTACTACCTTTTCTGCCTGCTCAGCAACTTCCTGTGTGTTTTACCACTTAGTATACATGTCTGAGTATCCTGTCCTGTGGTAAACTCCCAACACTGTGTTTAAGCTTGGCTGTGCTCCCCTCAACATACAGGTGTGTGTTACCATAGCACTTTGGCACCAAGGGTTCATGTCATGCTATTTGTAAACTGAGGGTCACAGTGTATTTGAAAATAGACAGTGGTGGATAGAGAGGAAGTACATAATTAATAGAATGAAAGGTATGATTAAGATTGAACATAGTTTTGACTGGCAGTCTATTTTAGTGAATACTGATCATCCAATGTTAGCATAACCCACATTTAATCGTTCTATGGATTTGAGCTGTGGAAATGTTAATTTCCTCTTATAGATTTATTGATTACCATGACACCATCCAGCCACACACCCCCAACCAGCAGCACAGCAAGGCTTGGAGAAATCTATTATTTTTTGTGTTGGTGCAAACTTGAATTTAGTCAGTAATAGACAGTAGAGTTGTTGTGATACCATTGTTTTACCTTCACGATACCGATTCTGGACTGATAACGATTTTCTCCCTCATGTTTGGAAGGGTGAGGTGAGGGGTATTCAGTTGCAACATGCAAAGTCACGACTAGATGTCACTAAATTCTACACACTGACCCTTTAAATGATCATGTTTATTTTGGTACTATCTTTGTAATATACATATATATATATGTGTGTGTTTTTTTATCTTTCAGATCACCAGTAGAAAGTGCCTTTGAGAAGATATCCCCAACTTGAAGTTGATCCATGTACATCGGTCTGTGTCTATGCTGTTTTTAAGACCAGACTCAAGCACCAGCACAGGATACCTCAGCTGCAAGCACTTCACCACCACTTTGCACAGTTTTAGCACCTGATATTTTGCTAGAATAGAGCCATAATTGTGAATTATGACCTGAGAATTACTAAACGAACAAGTCTACACTAAATTTCCCTCACTTGACTGATATTTATGGACAATATACACTTGGACTTGACATTAAAAAAACACAACCACCTTTATTTCCCATTGATGGGAGATTTCTCGGCTATCTCATCTTTCTGTTCCAGCTGATGGAGGACTCACCAGGTTGTCTTAAAACAGGACTTGGTTCTTACGGTCAACCTAAAGCTTTCAGTGCATGAGGTGCACAACAACAAGACTGACTTTTAAAATTTAATGCACGAGTAAAACCTTTGGACATGGCGTTGAACCTCTCTTCAGTAAGAGACACAAAATGGCTAACTCTGGAGGTGTGTCGGCAGTTTCAGCGGGGAAACTGTTCTCGTAGGGATGAGGAATGCAAATTCGCTCACCCGCCGAAGAGCTGCCAAGTTGAAAATGGTCGCGTTATCGCCTGCTTTGATTCTCTGAAGGTAAGAAATATTGTACATGTGATTATCTGTGACAGCTTAATGATCCTTTACTGAATGTATGAAGATGTTGCCCATGTATAAAGAAGTAGGAAACTACTGCCCTTGTAAAATGAAGAACATCATTTTTTTATGATGGTAGCAGTACTGTGACCCCAATTGCCTAAAGTGTATGTGAGTGAGAGAGAGTGAGAGAGAGTGAGAGAGAGTGAGTGAGAGTGAGAGAGAGAGAGTGAGTGAGAGAGAGAGTGAGAGAATGGGATGACACTACACCCAGACAATTTACAGCACACACAAACCAGTGTTGTAAGAAAGGTGGAACTGAATTATTTCATGTCAGGTGTATTGCTCAGGATCAATTAAAATGCAGTGTCAAGCACAAAGTTTGAGCACGATGCTCTTAAGAAACCAGTGAGCAATCTGTTCGCACGGACACGCACATTTTTAACTAGCGCTGCACTAGTAAAAGTAGATCCGGCACCCAGTTGGATTTCAGCCAGTATGTTAGCCTGTTTGCTCAGTCGTCCTGTGTGAGGCCAGGGTTGACTTAATCCACTCTCACACATTCACCATCACAACACAATACAGCTCTGCCCCCAGGATTGTTGTCATGCTGAGTCATTGTCTTGTCTCTTCACTGTTGGCAGTTAAAACACAGCTTGTCTGTGCCCCAGTGGTCAAGAGCCTCGAAGTATCAACACAAAGAGCATCCGTATTCTGTTATCGAAAAACAACACTTATTATTCATCTTGAGTGTTGTTCAGTAGATTATTGAGAAAAAGCAATACATTTAGGCTAAAGTGTTAGTACAGACTGATGCAAATTAAAGGATGATGCTTCCACAAAAGGGAGGAGGGCTCACTGAATGGTGTGAGGAGTATGAAAATATAAATTACGTGCTGTATCTTGTGCAGTCACCAGATCTCAACCTAATTTAGCACTGATACCAATTCCCATGAAAGAATATCTTTCAGAATGGTGTTTACGCCTCCAGAGAATCTATGTCAGGCTGCACTGCATGTGGTAGCATGTGATGGTCCAAACCTTTACTAAGACACTGCTGGTTTTTCCTTTAATATGTCACCTGTCTGCTCATTACAGACATTAACTAGACCTGGAGATATTAATATTTAATTGGGCATCTCTCTTTAGAAATATACTTAAATATCACTTAAACTTTGTGATAAGGGCTGTAACTTACATTGTTTTTATTTTTACTATTGATCAATCTGTCCAGTATTTGATTAATAATTGTATTGTTTAGTCCATTAAATGCAAGAAACCTGTGAAAACTGTCTGTCACATTTTCCTAAAGGCCAAGGCAAGTATCATCAAATAGCGTGTTCTGTTTGACTATTGGACCAAAAAAATGAAATTATTGAATTTATTGCCACATACAACATAAAAACAGCAGATCTGCGTAAGATTTATCATTAAAATGACTTTTAGAGTTAAAATGGCTAATTGATTATTTGTATGTTGACTGACCAATCAATTAAACAACAGCCTAGAATTACAGACTGGGCGTGGAAACAACAGGTCAGCAACCTAATGTGTAGCTGTTGTAGTCATGACGATGTCCCAGCTCTTCTTAAAGAAAAGGTTTTTGTCAAATCTACTTATATCCTGTCAGCTTCAGCTACTCACCATTATTCTTTATGTATTAAAAGACAAATTGAGCTCACTGGCCAATTTGTGCATTCTAAACAATTGCTGTTTTCCTCTTATTTAGCTGTTTAAAGCTAATGTCATCAATGGAGAAACCAAGAGTTAACTTTATTAGAGCAAAGTATGTGCACATGCTGTTGTAACAAGTATCTCATGACTCAAGAAAAAAAATCAGTTGCGACGGGTAGGCACATGTGAAGGATGTTGACGGCTCTGTTTTTTAAGTGGAGCTGTTTTCCTTGGCTTTCTATTTAGAGAGGTCACACTCTGGACTGGTTGCCCTTTTAGCTCCACTTCACAAAACTAATTATATTAAATACTGTGAAAACACCGTCTCAATACCATGTGACATGAATCCATAGCAAGTATGTGCATTCGAAAATCTTTCTGTTGACACTGTTTTTTCTCATAAAGAGTAATGAGATATTGTTAACAGTCAAAGCCACATTGGCTGAACTTAATTGAGACAAATCTCTTGGGACATATGCAAATGAGATGAAATGAGTTGACTTTGTAGATTTGAATTTGTAGGCTGAAGGGAGTCGACCTCTCATTAGGTTAATATTGTTGGTATCTTCATTTTAAAGTCTAAAATGAGATAAAAAGAGTTAGGTTTAATCATCAGATTTCTAAATATCAAACAAGCCAACAATGGATTCTCACAGCCAGTCATTAACTTCTCTCATTACAGCCAGTGTAGTCATAAAGCAAGCACAGGAAATCAATAAGTGACTGGTCTTCATCTCAGTCATGCTCTTTAAAGCCCCGTCTATTACATTTATAATGGAGGATTTTGCAGCACATTATTTATGTCCAAAACATTTGCTGCCAATATAGAAAATTATTAAATATATGTAACTATACTAAAATAACACCCTAAACATACTTTAACCCAAGTTACCTATAACCTAATTAATTTGCCATAAGCATAATATGTTTCAGTCTTAAATATGTTTTAATGTGCAGATATTGATTTCTTATTTACAAAAATAGACCAATTGCTAGGGCACCTGTTTGCTTTAATTCTGCTTAAGATTTACCTACAACTTGAGTCCACCTGTGGCGAATCCAATGCATTGGACAGTTTAGAAAAGCAGGCAATGAAGTCAAAGAAACTCTGCAGACCTCTGTAATATAATTGTGGTAAGGCACAGGTCAGAGTGAGGGTATAAAACCATGTGTTCAGCTTTGAAGAGCTTATTAACCCCAATAATCAAATTAGAAGAAGTTTGAAACCACCATGACAGAACTCAAAAGCATTGTCTGAAAACATTAGGCACTGTTTATGTGCTGGCCTATACCATCCCGGCAGTGAAACCTGGTGGTGGTAGCATTATGCTGTGGGGGGGCTTCTTGGTGGCAGGGACAGGTAAACTGAGAGCAAGATTAATGAAGCCAAAAAGAAACTAAGGGCTGGGAGATCACAGGAGATAACATATCTCCATATCGCACCATTAAAGGGAAAAAAAACCTTCCTGGATCTGCCTTTTTATCGAGATTTGCTCCAAATTTAAAGGGTTCTTTCTTCAGTCATACACAAACTCCTCCACAAAATATCATGGCCTTGTAGTTTATGTGTAATCCTGCTAAATATAAACAAACAGACAAATATTGATTAACTGTAACAAGTCCACGTAGGAAACCTGTTCCAAAGTGCACACAACCTCAGATCTGTGCATTGGTTCACATTTTAGCACCAAAAAATCGTGACGCTTACAGCCAAGATCGAGCTGGAGTGGCTTGGGGACAAATCTCCGACTGTCCTTGAACAACAGTGCCAAAGGCTTAAGCCCCACAGAACATCTGAGGAGAGACCTGATTATGGCAGCTCACAGACTCTTCGCATCCAATCTGACAGAGCTTGAGTCGGTCTGCCAGAAAGAATGAGCGATAAACTGCTCAAATCCAGGTGTGCAAAGCTTGTAGAGACTTACCCAAGACTCAAAGCTGTGATTGCAGCCAAAGAGTATTGATTTAATGGTCTTCTGTTAATGAAAGATTCCAGTTTTTGATTTTCATTAAATACCTAAAACATTTTTGGAAATGTCTGTTTGCCTTGTAAATATGGGAAAAGTAGAAAATGCTATTTAAAATTAAATCTATAAGACAATAACATGTATAAAACGGTGTTTTCAGACAGGCCACACTATAAGCAAAGTTGTGTGCATGCTTGAAGCAGCTTTTTTAGCTGCAGCATTCAGTGCTGTGCAGAAGGATTTTATTCTAGTGCTATCACATCATGTAGATAAGCACATTGATGACTCCACTGACACTGTAGATGGCTGCGAGGAGTCTGAGTGGGAGTGGAGTGCATGAAAAAAAAAGACCATGATGATTAATACTGCAGAAGAAATTGTACTTTGAAGCTCTTCTTGGTGTTCCTGGTGCTGGAGTAACCTTTAGCTTTAAACATATCTGTTGTCATATAAAAATTCCTTTTGAACAATGTAACAGGACTTAGACGATAAACTTTTAATATGACTCTGTGACTTTTCAAGTTTAGTTGATGAAAAGTTTTTTCCCCTCTGTTTCAAGGAGTAACTGTGATCTCTGTCTCGATCTTGAGTCTTCCTAATGCTTTTGTGTTTGCTCTGAATCCAGGGCCGATGCTCAAGAGAAAACTGCAAGTACCTTCATCCACCTTCGCACTTAAAAACCCAGTTAGAGATAAATGGGCGCAACAATCTAATCCAGCAGAAGACGGCCGCAGCTGTACTCGCCCAACAGATGCAGCTTGTGATCCCTGGACCAAGTCTGCAGCCTGTGGTAAGGTCCTAAGGCACCACTTTTAGCGGATATATGCACATTTTGTAAACTAAAAAAGGGCGATTTACTCCTTTCCCATTGCCGGTAAAGTTTTCCTTTTTTCTGAGTGATATCATGAATGTGCCACAAACAGAAGTTCTCTCACCTCACTGTGGCATCTTGCTGGATATGAAGAAAAAAAACGCTCAATCCCAAGATGTGCAAAACAAATAACTATACAAACATCATGGCTTTTTACGCCTTAACACCCAGAAGGCCAATGCACATCTCACTTGTAATATATTGAATCTTTGCTGAAAGCCTGTTTTTTTCTGTTACACAGGGACTTGGCACAAATCCCGGTCTTGGTTATGGTTCATACATGACACCATTAAGCCATGGAATGAACCTGGTTCCCTCAGACATCCTCCCCAGCCCCTCAGTTCTTGTTCCTGGGAGTCAATCTATGACAGTCCACAGTTCTTCTTCTTCCTCCTCTTCTTCTCCCTCACAGAAGCTGCAGCGTTCAGACAAACTAGAGGTAAAACTAAGCACCACAAGAAATTATTTATTAAAAGACATCGGTACTTATCCGGGTAATAACGTTATGTGGACTGATCTTGAGTTGAATTCATCTCACTGTCTTTATAACTGCTCCTCCCAGGTCTGTCGTGAGTTTCAGAGGGGAAACTGTGCGAGAGGGGAGACAGATTGCCGTTTTGCTCACCCCAGCGACAGTCCCATGATTGACACCACTGACAACACTGTCACTGTTTGCATGGACTATATCAAGAGCCGCTGCTCCCGGGAGAAGTGCAAGTATTTTCACCCGCCTGCACACTTGCAGGCTAAAATCAAGTCCAGTCAACAACAAGTCAGTCAGTCAGCCGTCGCAGCCCAGGCCGCAGCTGCAGCCGTGGTAAGACCTAGAATTATCCCTCTGAAAAGTCTTTTTGTTTGAAAGAAATACTATGACCATTTTTTCATAGCAGACATTATCTCTTGCCACAGTGATAACATAAGTAACTATGCCTGCGCTTTTTCTACTGTGGCAAAATGTCACAAATGCTGTGAAAAAGGCCTATTATTATAAAAAAACACATGTTAATACTATCGAGGTGTTTGGAGTCATTGTCATTTCACTTGTAGTGTAAATTGCCTGTTAAGTGCTGATCAAAGTAGAAAGAAAGCAACAAGACTCAGTGTTCTTCTTTAATCTCTTTTCCACTACAAGTTAAAACTATAAATTAGGAGTTAGAAGAATATCTACTACTGTATTAATTTAATACTGAAGAAATCTGCAGTTGCAGAACAGACCAATTTTATGGTATGTTTACATATTTAAGTAATAAATGGAAAACTTGCACTGTCTCTTTGAGTTAATATTCATGAACATAAGCCTTTTATAATCCAGTGTTTACAAACTCTACAAATGTAAATCAGAACACATTAATATTAAGGTCGGGATGATTTGAAATTCAGATTAATGATAGGCTTTGTCCCTTTATTAAAAGACCTGTCAATCAAATTTAAATCAGTAGCAGGCTTGCATTGTTTAGTTTGTGTAGTGGAGAAGTCATTTTCATTTACATTTCAATGATTGTGTCTTTAAACAGGCCCATTGAAAGCGGTTCATTGTAGTTAATAGAGAAAAGTATTGGTGAACATTTTTATACTGTACCTTACAGTATGTAGGGTTTGTGATAACTGGAGGGTTTCAGTGTTCCATTTCAATTGCAAATTTAGGGCATTTATAGTCTCTAGATTGGCACAAATTCTAAACATATGTTCCATAAAAAAATAAATTGAGGCTTGATATCTCACAGTTTAACCAAATAAAATAATAAACAAAAAGATAGAAACCCCATATAAGACAGAATATAAAGATTTGATTTAAGAGAAATATATACAAAAATGTATATTTGGATTTCAAAATCAACATCCAACTGTTAAATCAGTCAGGTTTTAATTGCATCATGGTAATCTTAGTGTTTTGATTTTAATAAGAAGTCCTGATTAATAACAAGTTGATCAGTATACAATGTAAACAGTGCGTAGGATTGTACCGTATGTGTTTGTTGCCATAGATGCCAATTCTGCTGAACTACTAATTCAGAAATCTTAAGTTAGTGTTTCCTTTAATTGGTTATTTTGGTTACTGTGCATGCATATTGTGTTTTATGTGGTATACTACATTCAGATTATTTTGTTTTGTTTTCCCCTTCTCACCTATCCACAATGCTGTCCCCCATGATGCACCTCTGCTTGCTGTTACCTGTATGTTAATACGCTTGAATCCCATTGGCCCACTGCCATCATGTGCTCGCTGCCTGCTATTAAAAGACTCAGTCGACTGCCAAAGCAATGAAGCGACCCCTCGAGGCAACTGTAGACCTGGTATTTTCACCTTTTGCTTTGCATGTAGCTGTTAATTGTACTGTAAAAAACTTTTAATTTTTGTCACTGTGGCCTCTTCAAGTTTCATGTAGTGTTTGTGTAGACAGTCAACATCAGTATCTTTAAGTGCTTAAGTTGTTAAATCTTGGTGAATACATTATTCCATTCATATTCTGTATTCTACAATTGTGCCTTATAATTTTTTCCATCTTGTGATAACAGCCACCTTTATTGTTTATTCATGTAGTTGTAGTTGTGAATACTAAATATTAAGGGTGTGTAAAATGTAGCTGAACAGAGAGAGAATGGAATTATGGGAATTTTTAGTGTTTAAAGTCTTCTCTTGTCACTTTCCAGGCCTTTCCCCACAGTGTCCTGCAATCCCTACCAAAGAGACCAGCCCTAGAGAAGAGCGGCTGGGCCAGCTCTCTCCTTAGCCCCAGTTTTTTGCACTACCATCAGGCTCTGGCCAATGCGCAGCTGCAGCAGCCTACGACAGCATTTTACCCCACAGGTAATTTTTACACTGGTCGTGGATTCATAGCTAAACAGGCCCGTTACACAACCTTCCATTTTGAATTTCCTCTTTGTCCATGCTGCTGAATGACACTGCTCATAAGGAGGTTTGAACACAATATTATCCATAGATATTTGTAATTATATAAGATGGGTCATTTTATTTTATTTCGCTGCAGGTCGCTTTGTAAAAACTGGCATAGCACAACAGATGGAAATTAGCTTATACAGCTAAATGTATTTATTACAGTAATTCATCTGTTGGTTAACTTGCACTTTCCCTATCAAATACATAAACCAGAGCCTCTTCCAAAAATTAAATAACTTCCACCTGATGCTGCAGAGCCTTTTCCCGGCAGACATTTTGACTTGTCATAGCATAAAAAGAAGAGGTGTAACTTGCATTGAAAAATGTCTCTGTCCCAGTAAGCTTTAACAGTGCATGCAGCTGTCGCACCACAAACTCAGTCATCCATGTGAAATAGTTGAGACCAGATGCTTGGTGATTTTGCAAGTACTTGTAGAGCTAGCTGGTGAGCTGCTGAAGAGCCGACTGTTTACTCTCTAGCTCAGCTTCTCTCTCAGGTTGTTTACTTTCCATTTTGTTCACTATATACACATATGTTATCAACTAAAACTTGAACCATCAAGTTGGTTTGTTGATTTGTCAGCTCATTTGCAAACATGACGATAACTTCACACAAAACGTTAAATCATTGACTCCTGTCTCATAACTGTCTCCACACGGTTTCTCCTTTGTGGAAAAGTTTTTACTCTGACAGAGGAGGTTAGGTAAATGTCACTGGTGCAGCACCGCTAATAAGATATGATAGCTTCTATTTTGGACCCTCAGTCCTCTTTAGGTCAGCACTGTCAAGATAGCTTGCCATTGATCGATGGCACAAATTTGCATGTCAAAGATCACCAAACTTGAACAGTGCAAAATGTCCCCGATGATTAATTTCACCCCTTCAAAGCCTTTTGGCAGAAATTGATTTTGAATTGATTGGGTTTAAATCCAAAGCACAGTGATTCAAAAGCACAAAACCAGGAACCTGAAAAAAGAAATTCAGCCATATTGATTACACCTGTGCTTGCTATGACAAATACAAATGTCTGCTGTGAAAAGGCTGTTGTTATACTATAAATGGAAGTAATCAATTTTATTTCAAAAAAAAAAAAATCCTACTATTTTTTGGACTTAGTTGGAAAATATAGAAATGTATCAGATCTTAAGCTTCAAATGTAGAGTTGGTGTTGCAGATATTGTAGCTTAGTCTGTTTGATTTAACCTGCGTCTTTTTGAAAGACACTCTGGGCATTTTGTGTCTGTTCACTAAACCAAAGACGTATTTATGTGGACTATGTGGGTTTCTATCATATTGATATGTGTTTATCTCACTAACGTACACCTTCTCTCTCCATTTCATATTCACACAGGGTCTGTCTTTTGCATGGCTCCAGCTAACAGCATTGGTAGGTGCCTTCCATCATTTTAATAAAATATGTCTCACCGTCAATGGGAAAAATAAGTGAAGTGCAGATGTTCTTGTTGTTAAGGAAAGAAATATTTTTTATCAGGATTCAATTATCAGGAACCCACATTAAATAATTTGACTTTCTCTCTGTAAATTTTTGTAATAAATGTTTGCTTTTAAAATGAATCCCGTTTATTGGAAGCAGTTTGCAAATGTAAGCATTTCAGTGGATTTTGATCATCGTCCCTGAGATACAGTTTAATGTTTTTTCATACCCTATAATGTTTTTCAACTTTAAAACTTTCGAAATGTATAAAACCACTTCCTGTTTGGTGACATCGCAGTACACGCTTCGTATGGACAGATTTCCTAATTGTATCTTTTATCGGCCCTCCTTTTGTGTTCTTCCCTGCTGTCTCGCTTTTTTCTGTTTGATCGTATGCCATCTGCTGGTCTAACCCAATGATGGCTTGCTGCTAATTTCATTTTATATATGCTTGGCAAGAGAGAGTGACAAACATTGCTATGGTTACCATAATGCTCCACCTCCCTTTTCATTGCTTTCATGGTTCCCTTCCTGAAAAAGTCCCCATGATGTACAGTGCTACGCCTGCTACTGTCTCTGCAGCAACTACTCCCGCCACAAGTGTCCCCTACGCAGCAACAGCAACAGCCAATCAGGTTTGCTCCTTTTTAAAGCTTTCTGTCATAAAACCTTGAGCTCTGAATAAGTGCTTCATCTTTAAATCAAGGGAGTTGCTTCGTCACCATAGCGCTGCCCTGCTTGCATCGCCTATCATTAAGCTTCATTTACCTGTGGACCTTCAGTAGAACTACTAGGCTGCATCTCACCCTCTTCCCTCACAACAAACAGCTCTTATATAAAGGTCTTCCATCTGCAAATACTGTTTTTTGCACACTTCGTTACTGCATGTTTTCTGCTTTGTTGGTTATTGGTCTCTTTTTCATTTCTGTGATAATGTTAAGTGAGCGTCAAATGCTTATAACACAATTGAAGTAGGGTTCTGTTACACTAGTTATATTGATTAGTATATTTGATTTTTCTTTTTGGACCTACAGTTTCACAATGAGAAACCTTTTCTTTGTTGTGGTGTGACATTATTTGGATTTTATCTTTTGGTCTCAGCTGCTCAGAGTAAAGTATTAGAGTATTATGAATAAGAGGTTATTTAAATGATGATGTTTACATGCATTCATTACTAATAGAATATACCATTCATATTCATATCTACATGTTAGAGAGCACAGTCTGATTATGACTCTTGTCAACATTATGTCCGACTACTTGTTTACACTCAAACCTAGTGCATGTGTTGTATGTTGATGTCACAAAATGCTGTGAAAACTAGATGTTATACAGCGATTTGAGACGTATACATTTCTACATAATTTAAATAAGGTTTAAGTAGTCCAGTAATCTGGATAATATCTGAATATTGATGTCCATGTAAATGTGTCTTTTGTAAAATATTTGGTTCTCCAAAACAATAATCCTCAACATATATTTTTGTTATTGTGCATTAAGCTTCAAAACAACATGTTTAAAACTGTATGTTTGAACTATGACTGCCCAATGGTATGCCTAATGCATTTATACAATGGGATGTTGAGGAGCTGAGCGTAACTCAAGAAGAAAGACGAATATTTAGTTTTGAATTAATATTGCAGCCAAAAAAAACAGTCACAAAGAGTTTTAATTTAACGTAAAGTTAAGGGGGATTTAAGACAAATGCCACAAGTTAAAGGTTTTCATTCCATCTAATCTTATCATTTTCTATCCATTCTGACAATAAATCATTCTGAAAACTTAATGATCTTTGACCACAGTTGACCCAGGTCTGTGTTTACTGTGTGAAACTACTAATGTTTGTCTTTTGCCCTTAAAACAGATCATCCTCAAGTAACCACCAGAAACAGGAGTCAGTGCCACATTGCTGCTGTTAAAGGTCCCAAACAGCCGATCTGTAAATACTCTGTGAACGCCACACACCACACACAACAAGCTGCATGCTGATAAACATCACTGGTGGAAAACTTGTAGACTCAACTTTAATCTATGGTAATAAATGACATAAGGATTACTAGGATTATACTCTGTTAGATAGATGTCACAGAAGATTATTGTATGTGCATGCCTTTGCACCAGAATTAACATGCATCCTCAGTAATGTGCGGAACATCCTGGTTCCTATTTCCGAAACCAATTCTGACATGGTCAGAGGTGCGTTCAGCCTCTTAATGAGTGAAATCCACCATGTCTCCAATTCTCTTATCACAGCCTCATGACTAAAAATGAGCTTTTCTTGACAAAGTCAAACAGGAAACAGATGGAAACCAGACCAAAATTGATTTCACTCACAATTGTAAGTTACACCAAAAGTGTACAAGGTGAACATTGCACATCCAGTCTGAGATCAGTTTTCAGTGTGTCCACAGAACATGTTAATGCCAGGTGTCGTGGGGACCTATATTGGATCTTTTTCAATTTTATCAACATATATTTCTTTCTTGAATGTCTCATGTAACCTAGGGTTTTCACATTAATGATTGTTTGTCTAGTGCCAGGTTTCATTATTTTAAGCTTACTCATAAAAAGCACTTGTTTTAACTTTAAACTCAAATGTAAAGATACATTTGACAGCAGGCTGTGGGGGTAGTCGGTCTGTGTTTTTTCCCTAGTTATCCCCAGAAAGCAGGATCAGTGCTCCACCTCCTGGTGTGCCTTTGCATTGCATATACTGTACATAATATTTGTTGGTAGGAAGTAAAGCAGCAGTAATTCAAACTGTTCATTTTCCCCACCTTCGTTATCCCAAAAAAAGAAAAACTTTGTGGGTTATTGGACAAGGTGATATGCCGTTTTATTGATGTATCCAGGTGGTGGTTTTCTCTTCTGGGGCAGGTCTCACAAAGATAATCTTTGACTGGGTCTTAATTAGATCAAACTTATAACTTACAATAGTCAGACTTCAAATTGATCTTTGATTCTTTGTTGTACAAAGCTGTTTAGATATTTACTCTATGAAGTGGGACTAATGGGTAAATTAAGATCTTTCGTCAGGTCTCTGTTCTGTTCAGCTTGAAAATCTTGTACTCAGTGTCTCTTATCACTCGGGTTTAGTAAAGTGTCCATGAGCAAAAAGAAAATTAATCCAACACTGCTTTATATTTCCAACTGATTACTTCCCTTTCTTATATCTCAAACCACAAATTTAAGTCCTGACAACGGTATCGGTGTCTTTTAGTCCTTGTGGGCTGGGAACTTGTATGTGCATGAAAAATATAACTCATCGGCCTCATGCTACAAACCAGTCTGAAAGATCTCTGTGAAACCAGCCACTGGCTTGAAGACGAGCCTCCACAGCCATTCTAGTTAACTCAGTAACAGGGTGAGTGAGTACTGTGTGACTCTTGTGATCCTATAAAGTTTGAGTTGAATGGTGTGTGAACTGTTAGTCTTACTACGACAGTCAGTTGTCAGTACTGTATTATTTGAAATTTACAAGTGCCTAATGAATTCTGCATGCAATTACATCAAAGCATATTTAAAAAGGGTTTGTGTGGAAAAACTGTTCAATTAAATCTACTCAACTTAACTCACAGTTAGGAAGAACTATTTAGCAATGCCATGTCAGTGCATTAGTATGTTGTGTGTGCACCTGTTTAGATTTAGTCAAATAATTTTCACTTTTGTGAAATTCACTCAGATGTGTATGTACTGTATGTACAATGTATACGAATCAATATTCAGCTTACTTTTTATTTAGTTTCACCATTAAGAGGATTAAGTAGTGTTGAATTAGTTAAATGCACACAGTAAAATACTTTATGTATTAAAGTAGAATCTAAGTGAGTAGACATTTTGGTGAAGTGTCGTGTATGAGTGGCACCACGATATGCAATTGGCCGTCTTTGTCTTTGTTTTAAGAGCAAGCAGAGGTGGCGTCATGTCTCCTGAAGTGAAAAACTGATGTTAAAAATAGTTTTTACTCATATGAATGTTCTCTTGAACATCTTTTATTTAAGTTTTAGTTCCCTGTTTTGCCGTGTGTGAAAATATCAACCTTTATTTTTATTGCTTTCCGAAGTCTTTTCAAGTGTTTTTCAAAATGTGTGTGTACACGTGTGAGTAACAGACAATCCACCAAGAGAAACTGCATTTGTTGACTTTTTCATTATGTATTTTCATTGTGAAAATGTACACATTATTGGATATGAATATATGGAGTATACTTGCATACAGTATTTTACTAGTTTAACCTTAGCTAAGAACACATTTAAAATGTATTCACTTCTATTTTACGATGAATGTAATTTATTAAAGTGACGTTAGCTCTGCCGCAGGTTCCTCAAAGGGCCATGATCTGTTGTTTTAGCCTTTAAGTCGTCTCTGTTGAGGGATCAGATGTTGGAGCAAAGAGAAGCTTCAGACATTTCATCCTTGTTACTGCCTTGTCACCTGTGAGGGAAAACAAACCTTTGTATGATCGAGGCAATGGAATAGTTTTTATGTAAAAGAGTGTATCGTACGTACCACATTTTCTGTTCACTCCTCACAATAACACATTAGATTGTACCGTCAGATGTTTGACTTTATTAAGCCATGGTGAAACACTGTAAGTGAGCCAGTGCATAAAGAAATAATCGGAATTTATTTGTTTTACATAGTTTCCTCTGTATGTCAACATCTAAAAAAAAATCCACCGCAGATTGAACTACATTGTTTTAAACTTTTTTCTATATACATATATATATATATATATATATATATATATATATATATATATATATATGATCACTTTCAAAGTTTAGGTTGTCATTAGTTAGATGATAAGTTTCCCTAATTTATTATATTAAAGGCATATTTCTGAATGTTTGTTTCATGTTTTGGCAAAAAGCTTGAATGTCACTATACACCTGCATATGGAGGTTGTTATGATATTTTGATCACCTAGTCTAAATTAAATGGACAGTAAGAATGTTTGGTCTGACTGACTGACGGAAACATTTGTCTTAAGCACTTTGTCGACAGTCAGACGACTGAGAAGACATGCTTTTTGTGAACTTTGCCTTATCTTAGAACCTATTCCTAAATTTGCATTTGTTCAGTAATTGTGAGTTCAATATTGTTGAGTAACTAAAACCAATTTGTGAAATTGTCGCTACGTGTTTTTTTTAATTTAAGGCCACAATGAAAGATTGTCAAACAAACCTTAACACTAGCCTGAAGCTTGATCCTAATAAGACTAAATTGCTTTAATGGTATTTTCAAATTTAACAGATTTCTGATGAAGCCAGTGCTTGATTACATTCTGGCCTGAATATAAACTTTCCCTTTTTGTTATGCTTTTAAGAAATTATTCTGTAAATAATTTTATTTGTGCATAATTAAGCAATTCATGTGGATAGTTTTGTTCATGTAAATTTAAAATTGTGTAAAATCTAATATTGCAAACAAATAAATAAATGTCATGTACATTCAATGCTGTCAGCTATGGTCTTTGATTTTGTATTGTGCATGTATTTTGAATACATTTGATGCCAGACTCATTCTCAGACAAAAGAACAAACAGACTGCTAAAACTCAATCTATTCACAATTAAACTTTGTTTAGCTCAGTATAACTTCAGTACTTATTTGTGGAGAAAAATAGAACTTTTTTAAATCATAAGAAATGCTGTCTGGTCTTCATTAATATGAGAAAAAATGCAGATTATTGATTATGACAACATATTTTGTCAATAAATGCTTACTTTTACTTTGGAAAATTGCACCTCCTCCACCTTTAAGATGTTTTTGGATAATTGTGCCATTAGAGAGATAAACTCTGGAGAAACGAAACCATGGATAAATCTTTGAAGACCTTTTCACAAGTGATCAGCTTCAGGTCCTGTGTGACTCTAATTAGACTCTTAACCAAAAGTATTTTTTTTAAACATTTTCCAGACGTCCAACACACGTAATGTCTGTGCCATCAATAAATAATACCCCAGACTATCTTTTGTACTCATTTGAGCAGCAGCAACACACACACACAGAGAAAAAATGCTGCGTTACCATGACAACAGCATTATCCTCTTCTTGGATGTGCATCCTGGAGGCGCCGCTGTGATTGGACGAGCTCTCTCTGGATGTCACTGGGGCAACCGAATGATGGGAATTTTAACACATGAACGGAAACGCAGCCGCTGAACGTCACCGTCTCTGCTCCCATTCAAGGCAGCGAGGAGCAGGGGGGGGGGGGGGGGGGGGCTGCCATTGGACAGCTCGCACATCCGTCCGACTGAGGAGGGAGGGTGGTGGTGTTTTCTTTTTTTTGCCTCAGTACGGGAGCCGAGTGGGGACCGGCTGGTTACGCAGCGGCCGTGGGTCTCCACCCGAGAGTATGGCGGCTGGGATCGCGCAGGAGAGCGGGGGAGAGACGGAGACATGCCCGCGATGGTGAAACGAGAAACAAAGAGATTCGCAAGTTGTTCCAAGAAGCTGTCGAGAGACTTTGAGTTGTTGTTCCTGCGGAGGCCTCACCGGCTGCAGTTCATTGTCAGCTCTAAACCCAGCGTCCTTTCTCCCCCTCGATGGAGCAAGTTTGTTATTTCCTCCTGATGCACAGAGAGGAGTCAGGCTAAGCAGATGAGAACCGGTCCGGTCCACATCATCGGCCGATATTCTCCTCCTCCTCCCCCGGTGCACGTTTGGGACGATCGCGGCGCTCGGATGCTCGTACAGCGGTCAGTGTCTGGCCTGCGTGGGGTAATTTCTACAATGAAATCCGTGTTGGGGGCACCGAGTCTTTGTGCTCTGCCGTAGCCGAGCAGCAAGGCGAGCAGGACCGTGTGCGCGTTTCTTGACAGCCCGTCCGACATGGCCCAGGAGCGGTGATTGTTTTGGGTTCATTTCAATGACGCGCGGACACTTGGCACCTTAACGAGTCGATTTCAAATCCACGATGCGCGAGTACAAAGTGGTGGTCCTGGGCAGCGGCGGGGTCGGGAAGTCCGCCCTCACCGTGCAGTTCGTCACCGGGACGTTCATCGAGAAGTACGACCCGACCATAGAGGATTTCTACCGCAAGGAGATCGAGGTGGACTCCTCGCCGTCGGTGCTGGAGATCCTGGACACCGCCGGCACCGAGCAGTTCGCCTCCATGCGGGACCTCTACATCAAAAACGGCCAGGGGTTCATACTGGTCTACAGCCTTGTCAACCAGCAGAGCTTCCAGGACATAAAGCCGATGAGGGATCAGATCATAAGAGTGAAAAGGTTGGTTGAAAATCAGCAGGGAAACCTATTGTGGCCAAGTAGTTTTGTGTGTTGGATGCTGGAGCTTGTTCTCCGGGCCCTGTAGTTGAGCGATGGGCCTCGGCCCTGCTGTGAGAACTGTGCTTGGATGGAGATGCTGCGAGTCTTCAGGGCAACTCCACACGCCTGTTCTATTTTGGTGCGCCAGGTCTCAGCCTCAGTGGTTGTTGGTAGGCAAAACTGCAGCCCCAGCATCTTTAGAAGTCATGTGTGATCTCCAGAGTGTCCTCAAGTCTCCTCAAACCTTTTAATGTCCCAGTCTAGACGGCTACATCTTAGGGAGGACAGACACCAGCAGTGCTGACCCGTTGGCACCAGTGTGTCCTCAGACACCGCCTGTGATCTGCCAGTGTCTCCCTGTAGCCGGATGCTGCAACCTCAGTGAAACACCCGACCAGGGGGATACCCAGGATTCACTGCAGCGAGAGCTTCCAGGAGGCACAGCTCAAAAACACAGGGAGGGAGACAGGCAGCACACTGGCTTGAGCTGGGCTTCTGCAGAATGGGAGGCCATGTTTTTAATTAACAAGCTGCAGAAGCTCTTTAGGAAGAGCAGCACAACACAAAGTGTGAGATCGTCTGATGTCTGAGCGCTGCTACACGGATGATCCCGATATGAGGTCACCGGAGCGAGCGGCTGATTGATACAGGAGGTTAGCTGAGGCTGCTGCGGGGCTTGTGCCGTCATGATATTGGTGTTCCTGTAGCTCGGGGCCAATGTACTGTGCAGATACTCAACTGTATTTTCACCTGGTGACCTGACACCATTGTATAAAACCCTAAATACACAGTGTCATAGCTGCTGCTGGTTAGATAATCATTGGCGATGGGTCAGCTCCAGTTCCTGTTATAATGTGCGGTGCACTGAGCTGTGACTGTGGGTTCATCAGTCACGGTAGGTGTCAGTGGATGAGTTGCAGTCAATTCAGGCGAGTCCAGTGGGCTCCGGAGACACAAAGCAGTCTGATGATGAAGCATATTAAAGTCAGTTTACAGTCACACACACTGTTTACAGACGCAGCTGAAGACTTCAGGTGATGAAGTTGGAACACGTTCTGGTGTTTTCGCCGGTTTCTGTCGTCTAAAAATACAATTTCACTTTTTTCTCTTTTCCACATGCACCTTACAAACAATCCTATAAATCTGTGGATGAAAGAATGAGGTCAACATGTTTCCCCTGTATGAGTTGAGAATGTGGAGAGGTACTTCCAGTCTACAGTGTGTGTGTGTGTGTGTGTGTGTGTGTGTCTTATTCCCAATGGGGCCTTCAACCTAGAAACACACAAACCCATAGGGACAAAAAAATCGACGCCCCCATGGGTCCAAACTGTTTTTGGACGATAAAGATATTTTTTTAGGCTTAGAATTCAGTTTTCGTACGGGGTAGGGTTGAATTGAGCGTCTGGATGAGATGGTTAAGGTTAGGGGTCAAAGACTGCATCATGTAGAGCGCCCCCATGGGGATAGTGTGTGTCATAGTAGAAGTGTTTTTATATGTAAATGTGTACATTTGTGCTCACACAGCAGATGCAGCCAGGCTGTTACGTGATTTCACACTGAACACTGAGTCTCTTGCTGCTGCTTTTATTTTCAAAGAGGAGACAAATCAAAGTATTTCTAAGAGCTGATGTGTAAAATACCTCAGCATCCTCCATCTAACATTAGTTTGACCTACCAGCCTGGATTCCAAACCGATTGATTGATCATTTTTGTTTCAAGAAAGGAAAAAGTTTGCTTTGATCGTAAACTCAACACAAACAGAGACAACAATGCAGACAAGGAGTGACTAGAAAGAGGGAAAATTCCTTCACCTATGAAGAGAGAGGCTGAAAATTGGACAACAAATCTGACAGAGCGAACAGTTTTAGGTCAAAAGACAACTTACAGACCACGTGTTGAAAGTCTATACTCACATTTATATTTCTAAAATACATTTGACAGCTCCTCAATCAGAATCAATCATCATTTATTTTATTGCCAAAGGTAAGACTAGCCACAAAATGAATAATCATGCAGATGCTTTGTCTTCACTAAATGCGAGACATGTTGAGAGACATCATAAAGGCACAGTTAATCACAAACGATCGCTTGCAACCACTGAACATCACAGACTGATAATGACCCTTGAAACAGGCTGGAATTTCCCTTTAGGATTTTTGAACTGCAGCTCTAACAGTCTGACTGTTCTTTTACCTCAGCACACTGTTATTGCTTGTCTTGATTGTTCGTCCGTCTTCGTGGGAAAAACCCTGGTGACCCATCATGTCTGTATCGGCATGCACCCTGGTCACACGCTGCGGTGCGTCACTCTCACTCTGACCCCTGTCAGCATCTATCAGCGCCGGCTGTTAGTGGCAGAGCCGGGCTTCAGCCACAGAGGTCGTAGGTGCACATGGTTGCACCCTGGTCCGACCTTGTCACTCCTCAGTTAACTACACCATGGATACATTGTGATTGGTGATTTAAGAAGGCTTTTCAATACAAGTACCATGGTGGGAGGTTAGAGACGAAGATGGAGGTGAAATAATATTTTATGATATAACATTTTACATTTATTGTGGTGCTGATGATGATCCTCTGAGTCAGGCTGCTTAGTACTAATGTCGAGATTTCATTCAGGGCTTTGTCATGTGCCAAATGGCTGAAAAGATTAAGATCACTAAGTGGAGGAGCAGCAATTCACCCTAACAGATCCTCTGTCACCTGTTTGTTTGTCTGTGGTGAAAACCAGACAAAAGAACTGAGCTGAAGTTCAGTGACTGCTGAGTGAACAGCTCGGCTGCTGCAGACGCTGCGACTGGAACCAGATACTTCAGTTAGTTCACCTCCATGTCTTATACACAGAGTTCCCACTTTAAGCACGGTGCGTCTCTAGCTTCTTAACTTCTAGCTTCTTAGAGCTGCAGCAGACTGAGGCTGTGTCTCAAATCACTCTTCAGGTAGTAAACTTACATGTAGTTCACTGTGTACCCAGTATACTCATTGGAGTAGTGCGTTTATTTTGACAGTGATTACTCATGCTGATTTCAAATGGATCAGTTTTAGCCTTAAGTATTTTTGCTCACTTGTTTTAATAATTTAACTTTCTTGTTTGCGCTCTCGTGTCCTTCCTTGACAAGTTGGAAAATAAAAAAATGTCGAACTATTCCTTAAGTGCGTCTTTAGACGTGGCACATTTTCTAATTTCTACTTTCAGCTTGTTAAAGCCGCAAAGCAAAAGTCATGCTGGTTTCACAGTCCAATAAAATACAGAGAGATGTGGTAGAATGGGAGATTCCCAGTATGAATGTGCAGCTGACAAATCTGCAGAAAATTGCAAGTCAACATGAAGCAAAATCTCAAAGGAACGACTCTTGTGAAATCCATGAAACAAAGAACTGAAGGTGTTTTGAGAGCAAAGGGTATAACCAGTATAACTGTTCCTAATAAAGTGCTCAGTGAGTGTAAATGCTGAAGAAAACAAACTGAAACATTATGATGCTGTAACTTAAATTGAAATCTCTGTCTCTCTGATATTAGGCTGCTGGTGACTAGAGTCGATACTGGAATAATATCACTGAGTGTTTGATTTTCAGTGGAGAATGTAGAACGAGTCACTCGGGCCACATTTTTCCATTAAACTTATGAATGAGTCTGTGAACTGTTCAAAGCTTATCCCTCTCCTTTCTCACCACTGTCTAATGAAAAGGGAGTCTGAACACATTTTTGATGCAGTGTGCACTTTGAATTTCAGATTTTCAGCCTTGGACTTTGTAGAGTAAGGGGAGGGATCTGATTCAGTCGGTATAATTACCCCCAGGGAGCTCGTAGTCGGCTGTATTGTTACCGTAATACATCAGATCCAAGGATGACTGTACAGTCTGTCGGGTTCAGTTCTCATTTATCTCGTCCATTTTGACATTTCATGGCCAGTGTCTCTGTGAATAGCACCAAGGTTTGAGGGAAACGCAAAGTAGGGAATTAGTTGTTATAACCTTCAAGAGAATCTAAAAGAGAGTTGAAGATTCATTTTAAATAGCAGAAATCTTAATGTGGTTGTCATAGCATGTCCATAAAAGACTACCCAGAAGTCCCTTCCTGATCTCTCCGAGTTTTTTCCACTCTCTGACTCAGCTGAATTCTCTCCTCTGGCTGAACTGAAGACCTCCCACAAAAGGGCCGTTGGGAGGAGGCCCATTCGCCCTCCCTTGTCCTGACGACGTCGGCTGGAGTCAAAATCCGAGACTCGTGGGCCGCCGGGCTCGGCCGTCAGTCAGCGAGGCCTCTGTGAGTTGATGCATCATGCATTATAGATAAGGTGTATCTGGGTGAGCTCAGATGGGTGTTTGCGCTCAGAGTGCTCCAGCACGGTCACCGTCAGGCTCATGAGCCGGAGGCTAAAGCGTGACACGTTGCTTGTGCTGTTTGTGTCACGGCACAAACACGGCTATACTCGGTTATTCATTTGTCATTTGAGGCTTGTGTCTACAACCACATAAGCAGCTCTGTGTGTGTTCTGTGTCATGGGCGAGCCTGGCCTGCTTGCATCAGCCACCGTTGGGTCCAGACACAGTGTGGCCGACGCCACAGGAGCCTCTGTATCTGCGGCATTCACCATCTCACACCTCGTGGGACTGCCGGTTTCCTCCTCTGTTATTATGACTATATATAGAACCTCTACTTTGCCACCAGATGTCTTTGTGCTCCTGCTCCTGTTATGATGAGGCCTAAATGAGCAGCTTAACTACAGCAGATCAAATCACATGGGTGTTTGATATGGACTTTACTTGAATTCCTCCTGCTGTGAACAATCAGTCAAATAACTGATTAGTCGGTAGAGAGACAATCAGCATCATCAAGTATTTTAATGATCATTGGGATGATTATAACAAAAATATCATAAATTCATAGGTTCTAGCTTCAGAATTTATTTGGCTTTTGGACTGTAACTGTTAGAAAACAAATTTGCAGACGTCACCATGGGCTCTACGAAGGTCCACATATAAAATCTCAAAAATCCAAATTTCACACACTCAGATATCAGTTCCACCCAAAGTGAATGAGTTCCTCCATGACCCTTCACAAACGGAACATATTTCGATTTTTGACTGTTACTTTGTACCTAACTAATTGGCTCAACAAATTCTACAGAGCAAACTAATAATAGAGAAGGAGATGGAAGATTAATCCTATTTTGGTTTCAACCCCTTGTATTAACGATAATAATGATGATTGACCTGTTATCACTATAGCTCCAAACACAAAGTTCAGGTACTAACCATCTTGAACTTTTATTTTTTTTCCATAATAGGAGACATTTGGACAGGAAAGTGAAACAGCAGGTGATGGTAGATAATTCATGAGATAGTTAGGTGACCACCGGCCTCTGCAGGAGATTTAAAGTGGGAGATTTGAGTTACAACCACTTTGTGGGGCAGCAAAAACACAAACCAAATGGTACCATTACCCCAACTACACCCAGAGCCCCCTGTGGCGTCTCCTAAATGGGCACAGCTATAAAAGTGAAGGGTCTGGCTTTCAATCTGCTCACCAACATCTATGTTTAGGGTTTTTTTCAGTGACGGTGGAAAGGGAATATAAGGTTCTAGATGAGAGCTGCCTACCACCAGCTAGAAGTGCTCCAAAAATAGTTTGGAAAATCACATCCTTACTGTTTTTTATTGACCCCAGGAATGCAGTGTATGATGCTGTAGTTTCTCGTTCAAGTTATCCTTGAAGCTCGAAGGGCAACACACTGAGCAACCTCTGAGATCATCTCCTAAATCCTGGTAGCTCCTTCTCGGCTGGTGAGCCAATCCTGGGAGCAGGAGGGGATTGTGATTAAACTTCACTCTGTATAATATATTCATGACTAGATCAAAGTTGGCTTCCTATTCTCAGCAACTTGAAGCTTATTTAACGCTGAAACCTGCTGCCCCTGGCCTGTAAGCGAGGCTCAGGCAGCCCAACCTGTAAGAAGTTTGACACTTGCGTCTTCTCTCAAACTCATTCCCCATGTAGAACCATAGCGATCAAGAATGAGGATAATGTTTTTTTTCCTCTATAAATAATTTAGAAGAACCTATATTTCATAGAGCAAGGACGGCATTTAAAAACCCCTAATGATGTTGGTGGGTGTTCGGGGGGGAATAACTGGTTAGTTGTGGCTCGATGTCGTGGTCAGAGACATTTAAACTCAAACGATGGCTCCAACAGATGGAACACATTCCTTCATACTGATAAGGATAAAAGAAATAACCTGTTGTTTACCAAAGGACGTGAATACGCACAGTGTTATCTCTGTGATGTTTTTGATCTTTATATCTCCTCTGATATGCACAAACGGCCTCAGAGTCTCACCATGTTCCCTAACATCAAAACCGATGTAGCGATTATATCAGTGAAACAACGTCACAGTTGTTCCTCTGAATAATTAGAATGCAGGAGTCTATTAAGTTCAACTGACCCTGCCTGCAGGGTCGACATCTTGTGACCCAGCTCCACGGCACGGAGCTCAAAGCTCAAAAGATTATGGTCACTTCCTGCGCTCTGACCCTCCAGGGGCTCAAAGGTACATTATACTACTCATTTCCTGTTGTATGCAAGGTCAAGGTTTGGACTTAAGCCGTTTTCAGACACAAACTCTGAAAATGTCCAGAGAATTAGGTCCCAGCATTTTACAGAGTTTGCCTTTTACAAATGAAGAATTGAAATGGACAAGGTCGGATGAGTTCATAACAACAGGAATATTTTCTGAACTCTCAGACAGAGTCTTTTATCGTCCCTGCAACATGTTGGTCACCAAAGTTTGAGAATCTCTCTCCAAGTTGACTTCTTGGTCAGCGTCTTCTACGAGATATTTTTATTCTTCCAGTTTCACGTCCGACATTTTCCCACCGTATTCTCCCATGGGCTCTCTCAGACATTTTATTAGGATACTGGCAGGAAAGGGTTCTGGGAAATTTCCAGAGGAACTGACTTGAACATGTATGATCTCACATACCGCCCCTCCAGAAGATTTCAGGACGTCAGTGTATATCTAAAAACAGCCCTGGTTTATACATGAAGGTTCAGGGTGGGTGGCATGAAGGTTCAGCATTAAGTGCCTCGCAGCAGCAAGGTGCCGTCCTGGTTCTTTATGCGAAGAGCTGCCTCCCACAGTCAAAGAGCCGTCAAAATAGAAACATTTCTTTCAGTTTTGGCCATGGACCCACCCACAGTGAGCCCACATTTTGCACCCAACTGAGCTTTTTGGAAATTCTTTGCCAAGTGGATGATTTTTGAAACAGCCAGGCTGATGTCATGGTGTGAAGTAGCAGAGGAAATGACGCTCTTCAACAAACAGATGTTATGTGATTTGCTAAGAACAGCAATTTTACCGCCAGTTCTCTCTGTAGTCGCTTATTTTTGATTCTCACAAAGACTAACATTCAGAAATGTGAGTGTCGATGTCATTTTCAGGTCTTTCTGCACGGAGTTTGTATGTTCTCCCTGTGTTTGTGTGTGTGTGTGTGGGGACTCATACTCTGGCGACCTGTCCAGGTTTTCCTCCAACTCTCACCCAGTGTCAGCTGGGATTGGCTCTAGCCCCTCTCAAAGGATCAGCAGCATAGATGATGGATGGATGCTCAGATTAAGGGAATTAATGTCTAACCTTGTGATCAGAGGCCCGGTCAGGTTGCCTCCCTGCCTTTAAGCTCCAAAATGCCCGGCTCACCTAAACAAAGAGAAGCAGGTCAAGAAAATGCTTCAATGAGGTTATGTTGTCAAAAGAGTGTGTTTTAGTAGTCGTCCTATTTCAGTGGGTTTTAATGCAAAGGGAAAATTGTGCATTATTAAATAATATCATTAACTGATTTGCTCATGCAAATAGTAAAGGTTTGTGCAGCAGTGCAATTAAAACCTTCTGAAGCATAAAGCAGGTGCCATTGTTGTTCTGAAAGAGTAATTGCCTGTTTAACTGTGAAGGCACAAAGAGAAACGCACTGATTCCATTACTGTTTTTTATTCTGTCGTATTCACGCTTCTGTTTCTGCCCTCAGGTACGAGAAGGTTCCCGTCATCCTGGTGGGGAACAAGGTGGACCTGGAGAGCGAGAGGGAGGTATCGTCCAGCGAGGGCCAGGCGCTGGCCGAGGAGTGGGGCTGCCCGTTCATGGAGACGTCGGCCAAGAGCAAAACCATGGTAGACGAACTGTTTGCTGAGATTGTTCGGCAGATGGACTACGCCGCCCAGCCGGACAAGGACGACCCCTGCTGCTCCTCTTGCAATATACAATAACCCCGGGGGCCTCGAGGAAAAAGGGCCAGGGAAAAAAGTCTACTTAGAGGAAGCTACTACGACTACGCCGCAGAGAGACACACGCTCAGACATGCACATGCCAATTAAACGGAATTCATGGTTGAACGCAATGGATGTTAACTCTATGGAGCATAAAATCTGCAGTGACATGATTATTAGTGATGACATGTGAGTAATGAATACGTTTTGAATGAGGAATGCTGCAAGAGAAATTGATAAACGACAAAAAGGAACATGCCCTCGCCTTATTTTACTTTCCTCAGTTGTTTTTAAACTTTCATCAGCAAAGAATCACCTGTCAGGATCTCTACACTTAAACAATGTGATATGAATGAGTGGATTTTATTTTTCTCCAGGTTTCGTCTGTTTCGCACAAAACACCAACATGCATTTGTTTTCCGTTCCCATGAGTAGCTACTGTTCACTGACCCAATAACAGATTTCTGGGATGTTTTTCAAACTGTATTTTTAATTTGCAGTATGTAAAATAGGAGTTTCTGTTCATCATAGGGCTGAACCAAAGAGGTGAAATGAAAGCACCTCCATTTTCTTACATATATATTTTTTCTTCCTCAGCCGTTAAAAAAAGGAATTGAGAGAAAAAGGTAGATGAGTCAGTGTCTTTCTTCTAACATGAAATTCTTTCCTTTTTTTTCTCACTTTTGAGATTTAATAGTTTAAGTAAAATAACGCAATCACATATGCGATTTTATTTCTTTTTTGGTTTTCCTCTTTAGTACGTCTCTTACAGCAGATTGCAACAAAGACTTCTGATGTCAGTGTTTGAGTCTCTCTACAGTCGATCTCTCCAAACTCCTTTCACAACATTTAAAGTGAAGATGCCAACATTTGCCATACTTAACATTTTCCTTTTATTTCTCCTCCAGTATCAGTATGAACTGGGCTGCTCAAGAGTTTTCCAATCTCATGTGCTCAGAGTTTTCAAATCAATAGTAAGAACTAGTAACGACAAAGGCGATGATCCTGAGAATAATAAATGGTAGTGTAAATATTTTGTATTGAAAGTGCCAGCTCCTGTGAAGACACTGACTCAACACGTGGAATTGTCAACTGTATGCATGGCTAGTAAACAAACAAAAAAAGGACTCTAATCGTTCGAGATTAACATCGGCTGTGGAAATGTGCAAACCAAACACACACACACACGTCTGGATCCGGACATTGTTTCAACTGTACATCTACGTTGCCACGGGAACCTGACTCTCCCCGTGTGACCATTTTCATTGTTGATTTTATATTTTTTTATGTGACCATTTACTCTTTATTCCCTCTCTAAATGGTGACGCTGTTACATTTGACACCTAAACAATAAAAGTGCGTTCAACACTCAACCAAGGCTTAAAATGAAGGATTGACATGTTCATCACTATGGTCTTTGAATCAAACTGATTATTTTCTGCTTCTCTTTCGTTTCACTACACATTAAGTATGTGGATGTTTCCTCTGTATTTCACCGATGCTTTACTTTTTAAATCAGTTTCTTTTTTAAAGATTTATTAATAGCTTTTTTATGGGGGAAAAAATTTACATTGGACAAAAGAAAAGGGAAAAGGACACCAGCAACAAGAATTACAAAGCAAGATCCAAGTTCCTATGGTTGTCTGTTGTTTCCATAATCCCATCAGGTTTCGAACAGTATCTATTGAAACAATTATTTTTATAGTGACAATCCACAGGAGTTTCTATTCCTGGTTCTCAGATTTTGCACCGAGACGTTACAAACGTCTCAGGAAATGATTAATCATCTGTGCTAAAGATAACTCGTCTGTTTTCAGCTAATAGACCGCAGCTCCTGTGAGGCGCTTAAAGTGACTAAAACTCATGGGAGAGGCCCAGTTTTAGTGTCCACTAGAATATGGACAAACATCCTGGTTCTTTTCTCCTTTTTTAGAAAATACACTTAAAGACAAAAATCCTCGGGGAAAAGAGATTGCGGTGCGGATGTCACAGGAACAGCTTAGAAAGGGGGGGATGGGAAAACTTTGATACAGCAATGCAACTTTAATTGACTTTTAATTAATATACTTTCTGTAAACGGTGCCCTCCCAGTTAAACAATGTTTTCACCCAGAAACTCAGGAACAGTTTCATCAACATGAAGGAGAGATTCCTTGGAGCTGTTTACTGGAATTTGGTAAATGGTTTTGAGCTATTGTTAAATGTTACAAACACACACAGAATAATTCAACATTAAAAATAAAGAAATGCACATTTAACAACTCTAAATCAACTCAAGCTTGAAAGTGAAGTGAAAAGAGCATTTTTGATCAACCTCGCCTGACAAGCTTTTGTTCAAGACAGATTATATGTAACCAATCTTTGAACTCTCTCAGCCTGTAATTGAAAGTTTGATCTCTGAATCTGATGAAACACAGAACACACTGACTCTGAGCTATCCAGAAATGAGAGAACATGAAGTATAAATAATGAATGTATCATCAGTTTAGATGTCAGGGAGGGTGAGGAACCAAAAATGTGATTCAAAGACAAAAAGATTTTCAGAGATGATTTTTTTTAAAAGATGGCGTCCTTTATGTTTTGTTTCTTGTCCTCTAGTTTGCCTTCAGACTAGTTTTAGGGGTTGTTCTGAATCGCTGATGCAGTGTAGAAATGACCTGATTGAAAAAAAAGTCAGTTAATAGATCCGGAGCCGTGTGTGCCAGCAGCTCCTCTGAGGCGCCTGTCAACATCATCCTCCAGCCACCTGATGAGAGCAAACTGGGGAGGAGCGAGTGTGTGTGTGGTGTGTTTGTGCTCTCCTGCTCGCTGAGGTGCTTTATCCACCCTGATGAGACAGAACCTGATGGTGAGGGGTCTCAGTGGGGTTCATTAGGAGCCAGCCTCCCTGTGGCATCACTCAGTCTTCTGCAGCATAATGTGTTTGTGGTAAATGTGGCACCTTGTTGACCAGTGAGAGAGATTTAATGAGAATGGATTACCAGACTCTTTACAGGAATCAGCCTAATAGCTGTGCAGCCTTATCTCCTGGGCTGTTTCTCTTTTCTTTTTTTTATGTGCACTTCACTTCCCCTCTTTCCTGAAGTCCTTGCAAAGTCATATCAAGAACGACTTTCAAAGATGCCATGCTAGGTATAGCAACGTGAGATTCTGAATCCTCAGCAGGGAACAGGCTGTAAAATAGAAATAAAGTCAGCTTGAAAACAACCCCTGGGGGTTTCACAGCGTAGGTATATGAATTAAATAGTAGGCCCTGACTCATTGTTACCTGTTTTTGACTCCGAGGCACAGACGTTGCAGCTGTGACACAACACATTGTGTTTGTTCCAGCCGAGATCCTCTGCTTCAATATGTCAAATGTCAAGATGAAAGTGTGTGTGTGTGGGGGAGGGCTGCATGAATCACGACAACACCCTCACCCACAGTGCTTTCAGACTGCAGCCTGGGGGTGTACATGAGTGAGCCCATGACAAAAAGGTGCATGTCAACCTTTTGCACTTTTACTCCAGGAGACGAAAGACCACGAGGCCGTCGTCCTGAGGACAGCAGGAACCTGGTGACCCAGGGGTTCGAGGATGAAGGGGATTCCAGTGCACAAACTAAACAAAGGGGCCTTTAAATTACTTTAATCCGCTCATTGATCAGTGGAGCATTAAAGTCTCAATGGTCCAGACAGAGGCTGAAATGTGCAGGAATAAAGCCTTTGTACCTTTGCAGCAGAGAGATAATGTGGAAATCAATAGAGTGGAATGTAAAGAGGAGAATTTGTGCATTAAGAAGAAATGTTTTCACACATTATATCGTCGCGTTCAAGGTTTTGTCACTGTGATAATGTTCATATGTCTGCCGGTAGGAGACAACATGCTCGTGGCAGAACGCAGAGAGGGACGACAGTGTTTCTTTCATGTTGTGTACCTTTGCTGGAAGTCACCACCACTGAAGAAAGCCAAGCTGTCATCAGCCCACACGCTCAACCCCCGTCTGATGTTTCACGCCTTTTTATATTGGAAACAATTTTGAAGCGCGGGAGGGAGAAGATGGAACAAACACGATGACCATCAGAAAGCTAAATAACCGGGTGTCATGGCAACCAGATGGCAACATGAGTTGTCAATTTCACAGTCTAATTTGCAGCTGTAACACAGTGTGTGTGTGTGTGTGTGTGTGTGTGTGTGT